TCCTTCGCATAGCGTCTAGGTTAGTGGGTGGAGGCTACCTCCTGTCTCAAAAGATGCTGTACTGAAAATCTCAAAGAGTGAACGGAAATTCAAGGATCAATGATATGTCAAATCAGGCAATCCAAATATATATATATATATATATAATTCAATCCATATAATGGCGAACGTCAGCGAACTCGCACAACTCTCTTTTTATTCGCAAAGGTTGGTGGTCTCGCGGATGCCTTGGTAGGGCAGATGCATGTTGATGCATCCTGCCCCTCTCCCCTACGGGGACGCACTACCAAGGTGTCTTCTCCGCCTTCCGCTTCCTGAGTGAATGCCCCGAGGCATCTGCTGCAAGCGCGGCCTGAGCCCTTCGCGCCTCGTCAAAACTCTCCTTTGTCTCCCACAACTGATGCAAGAGAGCAAGTGGCAGATCAGCGTACCTAAGATCGATGCGGTGCTCTGAAGAAAAGCTGGTGAACACTTCGTTCGTCAAATCGTCAGCATGTTGATTCTCGCTGCGTGGTCTCCAGTTCAAGAGTAATTTGAGCGATGCACGAAGCAGCAAATCTGACAGTTGCATGTTCACGAGCATGAGCGGCCATTTCGTGGATGACCCTTTCTTCAGCAGCCTGGAGTTGCCCTGATTGTCTGTATCTGCAACGCACTCGATGTCAAGCAAGGTCCTGTCGACCGATGCGGACAGGTAGCCGAATGCGTGCAGCGCCGCCAAAGTTGCGAGGAGCTCCGCGGAGCCCGATGCCCATTGCGACTTTTCTTTCTCGTCAAACAAGTAAGGTGCGTCCTTTGGTGACAAGCGTAGGGAGAACCATCTGGATGAGAAGGTGTCATCACTCAATTCCCACCCGGCAATCACCACAAAGCCGTCGGAGCACTTAGCGTCCGTTCGAAACCATGCAACCTTGTGTTTAGGCTTCTGGCAAGGGTTAACCTTGAAGGAAAAGTCCTCCAGGGTCCTCTCCAGGTAGAGGAGGGTCAAGATCACGGTTTCGGGGAGCTTGGCAACCGTACTACGTGACACTGCAGATGCCCAAGCGTAAAGAGGAGCAAGGTGGGGTTTAATCCAAACTACTATCCTAGAGATAAACCCCAAGCGTCCAAGGAATTCTCTAAAGAGCCTCACCTGGACCACAAACCTGTTGGCACGTGCGTCCCGGATCCAGGATGTGATCCACGCACCTCTGGCATCGGACATCCCTACTCTCCAGGTGCTGTAGCCGCGTAGCCAAGCTCATATCCTACAAAAGGAACCTTAAAGCCACCTTTAAACTTCTTAAAAGAAAATGGCGTTCCCAAAGCAAGGTACAAGACGAACCACATTACTAGGTTGCGGAACTTCTGCCGTCCCGTGAAGACACCGTGCATGTCATCAACGTAGCAGAGCTGGTAGAACCACTCCTGAAGGAGAGCTCTCGCCACAGTGCGCCCTACAATCCCAAACAAGCGGCTCCACCAAAACGAAGCGACACTCAAGCCGAAAGTGCCCACGGTATTGACCCAAACGACCGAGCTCGAAGCATCGGCTTTGCATGCCATCAACGGATGATCCTTGCGCCTGTGCTTGACCAGCCGATGAGCGGCCGTGACATCCGCAGAAATGCCGAATGCCGCCTCGCGTGAACGTTTGGCTGAACTGACGACATGCGCAACTTCGGCCGGACCTGGAGTGGCCGTCTGGTTAACAAGATGGATGCCGTTGTTCACCCGCACGCCATGTGTTCCGTCGTGAAGCGGGCGGACAGTGCCATCGGGCTTTGCCACGGCGCCCATTGCCGCGACCCTGACGCGACCCTCGCCATGCTCGGCTGCAAGGGTTGCGAAAGTAGTTGGATACATCCTCCCGAGCTTCTCTTCCTCACGAAACTTCAACTCCAACTCTTGCACGGTAAGCTTGGCGCTTGTGTAGTTGTCCCTAATGGCCTCGAATGAGCTCTCGTCCAACCTGCGAAAGCGTGGCCCCCCTCGAAGCAGGCAGCCAACGGGTGGGAGAGCAAAGGCCGAACCAGTCTGTCATGGGTGTCTCTTGCCCGTCCCACTCCAAGTTCAACGGGCCTCCAAAGTTCCCGCAAAGTTCGGGTTTGAAGGAGTTGTCAAGCCCTGAGGACGGTTCGCCCACATTGGTCCTGGGTGAAGCACAATCCGAGTCCGAGCTCCCCCCAACCAAAGACAGCTCCTGGCGGTCTGATGCATCCGAAAAAAAAAATGAACCCTGAGTCCACAAGCAAGCGTCTGTCAGCAGGTTTAAGCGCATCAAGCCTAGCAACCGTAAAAGCCACAGCGACGAGTCTCCGTCCCGTCCATGGCAAGGTGCAGCGCAGAGTCTCCTTGGCATTGAAGATGAGTTTGTCGGTGGGTATCGATGCGGCCTTCCCCATTACCTCAACCTGCTCCAAGCTCTGTGGCACTGTGCCATCTTCATCCTTCAGCCACACTTCCCCTCCTGAGAACTTTGTCAAGGGCAACACCAAGTTGTCCACAGGGGAGTTTCTGCTGTCCATGTGAAGGGAAGTGCAGACGTTATCATAAAGGCTCAACGTGCTGAACACATGATTTGGCTGCATCGTCCTAACAAACTTGGTGAAGCATCTAGTGGCCTTCGGGAAATCGTGGCAAGCCTTCCTGAGGCCCGTGATACCGCCCTTATTGTACACTCCCGAACTGAACGAACTAGGGAGGCGACCTTCAGGATCACGCGGCGATACTTTCTTGGGCAAGAGATCATACAAGCGCTCCAAGTCCTCTGCCTGCAACCTAGAACTCTTGGCCAACAGGTCACAAGCAAGCTTCTCGGCCTGCATCTAGGGTTCGGGAGGTCTTATCGGCAGCCGGGCCACTAGCTCTAAGTGGTTGGGTGACGGCAGGACGAGGAAGGGTCCTACCGGCTGCCTGAGAACCTGAAACCCCTGGAGCATTCTGGCCTGCTGCCCCCCCAGTGCGAAGCACCGGAGAGAGGACTGAATGCGACACATAACTGCAAAGATCCTGGGGCCAATCCTGAGCCGCAGCACTGTGCCACTGCCCCTGAGCGCGGCCTCTTAGGGGATGGCTATGGGGGCAACGCGAAGGCAGTGGTCCCAAGTATGAGCCAGCCGAATCGAAAGTGGGCCAAACATTGATCGGCGGCGGCTCAACAAGCAAATGTGGTGCATTGCAAAGAAACCTGCTGGGTTTGGCCGTGGGAGCATTGAAGTCGCAACGGAAGTATGCCCAGGTGGTAGCTGAATGCTGCACTTGCAAATCGCGGACCTGTTCCCACTGCCAAAACGAAGCTGGGCGCTCGCCGTCTTTTGTGGTTCCCAAGTCTTCCGGATTTTCAAGAAGGAAGCAACTGCCAGCAGCAGCACATGCGGATGCAGCAGCAATGCACTGATCGAAGAAATAATTTGACGAAGTGACCTTAAGTCTGTCGTCGTCTGATAACCATGGAAAACCTCTAGGCCATGCTTCGGACCTCAGTGGTGGCGGTCCGGGCCGTTTGTGCCGAGCTCGCGACTCGCGACGTTGTTTCACAAGGCGGGCTTGCCAAGAAGATCCAAACCCCCTGGCTAAGGCACTGAAGAACCGAATCCCAAAACCGATCAGTCATCAAGTCGGGATCCTCAAAAGTGAAACCCTTGCATTCGCTGACTCCCTCACACTCCTGCAAGAAGGCCTGCAGTGACGGCAAACCAAAGCAGAAAGCTTTCAAGCCAGCGAGCAGGAACCGTCACTCAGATTTGCCACCTGATGCCGTGAGCTCCTGGTGCTTGGTGGCTGGATGCTCTTTATAGCAGCCTTTCACCCTGCAGACATGGGCACGATTGCAATTCCCGGGGCATCCCTGATTGTTGTAAGCGAAACATATTTCTTTGCCATCGGGAGTCCTCCAGGCCAGCTGGAGGCCTCGCAAAGTGGCCTCGACCGCCTTTGTCACCCCCTTTACCGCCTTTGCCCCCCTTGGCGAGTCCACTTGGTGGGCATGGGAAAGGCAGTGAGGGTCAACGGGGTTACAAAATGGACTTCCTTCATCTCCGTGCCGTGTCCTTGGTCACAGCCAGCAACGCGGCCTTGAGCGTCAAGCCCTCCTCGTTGACAAGTCGAAAAGCTTCTTTCCGCATGCGGTACTCGTACCTCAGGACAATGCCCCAAGGTGGCCTAAACTGTGCATTGTCGTTGTGGTCGTACCCCGTGGCTTGCTTAAGCCTAAGCCCTGCAACCCGCTCACCAAGAACGAAATCCACAAATGCAGTGAAATCTGCCATCGTCAAGTCCTGCAGCCAGCTTTTGGATTTGTAACGGGCCTGCATTGCCAACCAAGCAAAACCCTCAACCTTAATGACCCGACGGTAAGCTTCGGAGTTCTGGGGCATCTCAACCTTCTGCTTTGTCTTTGTAATCCGAAGGTGCCCTGCCGGATCGACACTGGATTGAATTGATGCAGTCTGGGAGTCGCGCTTGGACGTGATGGTGTCAAGCTGCGCGGCCGTTGGTTCATTCTGCTCTGTCTCTTCTGCCTTCAATGCAAGATACTCTGCACTCGGGGTTTCTGCCTCATCCTGCAGGGGTGTCTGCTGGGATCCCGAAATCGGTAGCAGCTGCTGCTCTTGATCCTGCACGATCATCGGCAATGGCCTGGAACCTTCTCAAGGTGGTGTGGATTCCGCAGACTGCGTACTGTGTGGCCAGCGTCGCGCCGGCCTCTTGCAAGACGTACTGAAGGTCTGCATCTACGGTGTTGACTCTTGCCCTCATCTCGGCATCGGTTGCCATCGCACTGGAAGCACCCCACTCGAGGCCTTTGCTTCCGCAGTCTACAGTCCTTCCCGCTGAGCGCCCTGAGGCCTTTGCTGCAGCACCCCAGGTCTGAACCCTGATGCGCTGCAAAGGCATTCAGATCCTCAACAGACGGTCAAGATGTGTTCGCCCCTTTGAAAGAAAATGAACAACAGGCAACACCAGAGTATCTTTCCCCGCGCTCGACACACTGAGGGTCTCACTTGAAACCTAAGTCCGGCGTCTCTTCACTCGCTGGACGACGTGGTCGCCTCACCCGAGCTACTCTCTTCAGCCTGGTCCTCGTTGGCCATTGCACGGATCCTAACTTTGCAGTCCTTGCAGACTGCGTCAAAATCGGCAGCCGTCACCTGATCAAGATACAAGACGTCCTGACATTTGAACGGCTTGACATAACAAGCGTGGTTCACATGCAACCTACGGAAACCAGTCTTCTTGCTCACACTGACAAAGTATTTGGCATCTCCCTTCGGGAATGCTGCTGGGCGCCCTTCCTCCTCAAGCTCATCCGGGACAACGAGTGGCGCCTGTAAGTGCTGGAAGAAAAGCGGTGGAAATCTCCCGCCCAGTCGCGGGTTCCCACCTGTTTTCGGTGACCTGACAAGCTCGTGCCTTGCGCGAATCACTGCACCGATCTCGCCCCTCTGCTCAGCAAACGCTTGCAAAGCATCCAAAGCATCAGCCTCCACATAACCCTTTTCCCTACCAAGCAAGACGACTTCAGCAACATGATCCTGCACTCTGTGGACTATCTGTCGCGCAGTCCTCGTGTAGTCTGCCGACCCGCCTCCGCCGATTTTCCAGCGGCCAAGGTAGTCACGATCTCCTTCAGGTACCCCGATGGCGGCCCCCACGGAGGTCAAGAAGTTCCTCGCCGAGTGCCCCACAAAGTGCAAGGCACACTCACCTGGCAGCAACAAGCGGTCAGTGTTCTGTTTCCATTGGCCCTCATGCCACCGCGGGGTGCAGAGCTCCTTGAAGATCTTCCGCAAGTACAATGCCACTGTTGAAGCATCGACCCCTCTGTCAGTGCAAGTTTCCCAGTCTTCAGCTGCTTGCAAAACCAGGAAGTCCCTGCGCAAATCGATTTCTGACCACAACCTCACGCCATTCATAAGCCAATCTGTACCCGAAAAACCAGCCCTGCGTGAAATAAAGACCTGGACCATGTTCACTCTTCTGTCTGGCCCCGTGGTCTTGGTCTTCCACAGCTTGCAGCTGAATCCCTCAATGGTGAGGCGCATGCTCTCCGGGCGCACGCATTGGATGTCATCCGCCCTCATGCTCCCCCACAGCATCACAAGAGCCACAAACGCCATTGCTCGTGCATACTTCGGTCGATCACCATCAGTCAAGTAAAGTTCCAATGAAAGGACCATAGCCACTGTTGGCTGCGCAGCCTGATGAAGTGTAGGGCCCTTCTCCACTAGCTCGGCAGTGACATTCTTGCTGAAAGCGATCCATGTGCTATCTCTGGATAGCATCCTGTCTTCATCGAACTTGCCAACCTGCTCCAACACAGCCAGTGAGGCTGCGAAGGCCTCCATGGTAGTTTTGCCCGCGCCCTCCTTGACCGCTTCGGTCGCATAATCAAGCAAGCCTTGGAGTCCCATGGGCCAAGTTCTTCCCTTTGAAGTTTCAAGCCATCGTGAAAACTTGTTCCATGAGTGAACACGATTCCTCAAGGTCTTTGAGCGCCTGGTCCCAAAAATCCGCACACAAGCTTCTTGAGGCTCCGAAACTCCCTGTATGACAGACACGATGGGCGCCTTCGCGCCGACCAAGAAGTTGTACAGCAGCAGCGCATACTTTGTCTTAGCATCCCGCTCTGCCGCAGCCCTGGTGGCAGGATCAATGCTATGCTCCCTGGCCTTCCGTGCCCTCTCGACTGCAGGCAGCAATGACAAGGGATTGCTGTGAGCAAGCTTATCGAACGCTTCAGATGTTGCACCAGCTGGCACAACGTGTTGTCCCAGCAAATTTTCACCCAAGCGGTCTCTCGCAACCCTCTTCGCCTGGTTTACAGACCCAGCACCTCGTAAATGCCACTCCCGCAAGAAATCCACAGCTGACCTAACATTGGCCTTAGACCAGCCAGCCATAAGTGACCCCACGAGCAGCAGAGCCCCATCCTCATCATCAAAACCATAATGCAGCTGTTGAGCTGGGCCAACAGATCACCGCTGACATTAGGCCAGGACAAGTCCATTGCGCGTCCCGAGAGGGAAACTCCGGCTTCTTACTACAAAAGAATTGCACGAGAGCCTCGGCCTAAGGTTTTCGAGGCTGCGGCGGACCGAATGAT